GCCTTCTTATCTTTAAGGCTTTAGGATTCAAAAGGGCGAGGGAACACCCCCCACACACACACATACACACACCTCTCTCACATGATTAGGTTTCTGGCAGAGCTGACTAGGGATGTTAAATATCAGTTAATTGAACAGTTGAGTAACCTCAAAAATTCTTATGAGTCACTCCACTATTCTATAGCCCGTAGAGGTGCGAATGGCAGCCAGTGTGTTCCAGCTTGATTCCTGACGAGCCCCCTGCCACTCTACACTCCTGCCACTCTTATATATCAGAGGTAGTAGTACACAGTGCAAAGCGAGACCTGATCTGAGAGGGGACTAGTTGAAAAAGCAGCTCTCCCCATGGACCAGCTGCCTGATGCCCTGGGATGCTACCTCTGATAAAGTAGCATGGAGTGACAGCAGCCCCTGAGCTCTCGTCCCTGTTTCCTAACACACTTTAAATGCAGAGGCACAGTGGGGATAGTTCTCAGATCCTCTTCAAGCCTGCTAAAAATGTACTGGCAAGTGTGTGGGTGGGTGGGGGAGGAGCATGCTATCTATACCATTAACCTATAAGTTTTTGCTTAATTGGTTAACTGACTAGACTATTACAACTCTAGAAGGCTATGTCTACACTGCCCCTTCTTGCGCAAGAAAAACCCTCTTGTGCAATGCCACTATGCTGATTATTTTCAGAAATAATAGCATTGTGCAAGAGGGTTTTTCTTGCGCAAGAAGAGGCAGTGTAAATTGCTCCTTCTGGCGCAAGAGCCTCTTCTGAAAAAAATGGCGGCTCATTAGGTATGCAAATGAGGCTCCATGATATTCCACACTTTGGCTCATTTGCATATTTCTCATGCAAGAAGCCGTGAATGTAGACATAGCTGAACAGAAGTTGTTGCTCTCCTCTGAGCCCAGTTTGGCAGAAGAAGGACACTCCCTGGGGCAGCCCCTGGACCCCTGTTCCCTATTTGTGGGTGAGCAGGGATCTGGCAGCAGAAGAACTCACCAACTCTGATGGGGAGAGAGACAGAAAATATGGGACAATTTATCCATTTTTAAGAACAAGCCACAACCCTGCAGCAGGCCTTTAATCTCGCATGGGCAGCAGGTTTGTATAATTTTTGGTGGTGCCCCATTAGCCACGCCCCCTGGCCCCCATTAGCCACACCTCTGGAGAAAACATGCTCAGGGCAAGATGGACAAATGACCAGAAGTAAAAGGTGTCATGTTACCCCTCTCGAAGGGCTTTTCCCACCATCCTCCTACCAACAGGGATTAGTTTGGCCCCCACCATACCCCCCTCATGCAACTATCCTGCAGTTGCATTAACCCAATCTGTGTAACATTAATTTGGGGGCAGAGAGGCTGGGGAAGTGTTCCCTCTAAGGCTTCGTCTAGACTCACAACTTTTTACGCAAGTAGTCGTTCTTATGCAAGAACCCACAGAGTATCCACACTGCCTGCCTGCTCTTGTACAAGGAAATTTACAGTACGGCGTGGTAAGAGAGGGCATCTTGTGCAAGAGCTATGCTCTTTTCTAACAGGTGTAAGCTCTCTTGCGCAAGAGGGAAGTGTGGATGCTCGACAGGGATTTCTTGCACAAGAAACCCTTATGGCTAAAATGGCCATCGGAGCTTTCTTGAGCATACACACTGCCATAGATGCTCTCGTGCAAAAGTACAGCTTGCACATGGCAGTGTGGACGTGTTCTTGTGCAAGAACTCTTACGCAAGATGTTCTTGTTCAAGAAACTGCAAGTGTAGACATAGCCTAAGAGTTTCCGCCCATGAGCAAAATATATTTTGTGTTGTGTATCAGTGCTTAGTTCATGTGGCTTGTTTGGATGTGCCACTGTGGCACCCAAGATATTACAAAATATTTTTAAACCTTTACCTTTTCTCTCTGCTGCCATGTCTCCTCCCCTTGTTCCATCAGCTCCCCCAGTGCCTGCTGCCGCCAACTCCTCACCCTCCTCTGCTGTCCTGACTCCTGCTCTTCTCACTGCCCTCAGCACTCCTGCAACCTGCCCTTCTATATCCCTTGTGCCCATTCCTCCAGTAGCCCCACTCTGATCATGTGAGCTACTCCTCCTCATCCCCTCTTCTAACGCCTCCCTCTACAAACCTGCCCTGCATCTCTCCTCTGATGGTGGTCCCTCCCCTGCAGGTACCCTTCTGCTTCACCCCCAGAATCGCTTGGCACCTGCACCTTCCCTTACCCCTGCACCCTCCTGGTGCCTCCCCCTTCGCTCCATTTTTCCCTGATGCCCACCCCTCAACACCCTCTGCCCCCATTCCCCTCATGCCCCTGTGCCCTCTCACATGACTTGCTCCATCCCAGCCTTCCTCATGCCCACCCCTTCTTTCAAGCCTTCTCCCAGCACCTCCCCTCACCCCTCTAGCCCCCAATGCCCTTACCTTCTCCCCTCGATCCTCCGGAAAAAAAAGCCCTTTTCCGGAGGATCTTATTCCTACTTCAAAGTATTTATTTTTACTTTGAAGTAGGAATAAGATCCTCCGGAAAAGGGCTTTTTTTTCCGGAGGATCGGGGCCAGTGTAGACCCTCTTTTCCGGCTTTTCTAAAAGCCGGAAAAAAGCGGCGGACATTTTTATTTAAATGCCGCGGGGGATATTTAAATCCCCCGTGGATTTCCCTATTAGGACCTGTGAAATTAACATGCCCCTTTCAGAAAAGGGGCCAGTGTAGACGAGCCCCAGGTGTCTGCCCTTCTGCTTCACCTCCAGAATCCCCTGGTACCTGGACCTTCTCTTACTCCTGCACCCTCCTGGTGCCTCCCCCTTCCCTCACTACCCCTGCCCCCTTTTTCCCCTGATGCCCACCCACCCACTCACCACCCTCTGCCCTCACACATGAATTCGCCACCGCAGCCCGTGCGTGGACGAACGAAGCCAACAGGACTTCAACACATCAGCTTAATAAGGGCAAAGGGCCATTTTGACCGACTTCAAGAGGAGCTTAAAAACAGGGGCTTAAAGTTAAGCGCATGCGCAGGTGCTGGCTAGACAGGGTGCTTTCTACAAAGAAACGTGGGTCTCTATTTGCCAGTGAAATCACGTGGTCACGCTTGGTACAGCGGCGCCCTTCGGAAGCGGTTGGCAAACAGTCAGCCCTTCCCCTAACTCTAACCCTAACCCTCCCCTACCTTCTGCCTTCCACTTTGCGGGGCTGGAGTCTTCATTCCATCCCCGGACTCTGAATCCGCAAATTAGCTGCATGGTACAGTGCAACACAGCACCCTGCAGTTGTAAAGTGCTGGGCCGTGACTTTACGGACATCTCCCCACCCACTTGTTTGAGCATGCCACGCATGGCAGCAGCAAGCAGCAAGGGGGAGTTCAATGAAGGTTGTGCATGGCAGGGCCGGGGAGAGACGCTCTGTGGCCGGGATGGGCGGATGCACGGTGGGGCCGGGGGCTGCCCCAGCTCCAAATGTTGGTGGAGTATGGGCACCACGAGCCCATACAACTCGCTGCCCATGCCTGGGACATCTGCTCGCTAACTAGAGTGCTAGGCAGGAGGCAAAACAATAGCTCTCACAGGCAACCTCCAGCTGCTGAATCTAACCCCCTTGGGGCAGTGTCCACCTCTCAAGTAGGAAAGGGGCATCTTCTCCAGGCACTGGCCACCCACACAGAGCTGGGAAGTGGGTGCTGTCCCCTCGCCTGTATTTTTACAAACACTGTAAATGCTCCTCACCCTCGGGGATGTATTTCTGGCAGGGCCCGGATCCTATTCTTAACCCTGCTGCCTGCCCCAATTTTACCCTTTGGCTTCTCTCTTGGCCCTGCAGTCAGTTTGGCCCCTGCACAGACTTTGCCTCCCCTGTAAAAAAAACAAACTGGGTGGGGGGACCTTTTGCGGGCAGGGGCATTCAAGTGAGAAGCAAAACTGAACAAAACCCAAAAAACCTCACTGATGTGGCCCCTGACTCTCCACATTCACCACACACCAGGGTGGTCCAACCTAGTAGATTTTGTGTGGTGCAGACAGTGAGGGGGAGGGGGAATTTAGAAAGCCAGGGCAGGCTCCCCAGTACTGGAGTTTTCCCTGAGCTTCAGGGGCCTGTTCCAGGCAGGGTGGGGCCATGTCCGACCCCAGGTTCCCAGCTCCTGCCTGACAGCGGGAGCCAGGCCGCTTGGAGCAGACGCAGAACAGGGATTCTCCAGGCCCTAGAGCCAGGCCAGGCCACGGCGGGTTTCCAGGGGCTGCAGCTAAAACATTTCCCCATGTCATGTTGCATCTTGCCCCATGCCCCAGGCAGTTCCCCTGGGCAACACCCACCCCATGGGCCGGTTTGCAAACACTGCAGATGGGTCCCCCACGCATGGTCAGTTCAGCCCTGGCCTGTTCTTAACCCTTCTGCCTGTTTCAATTTTGCCCTTTGGCCCCGCACCGGTACGGGCAGTTCGGCCCCGAGCAGCCCCCGCCCCGCACGCACCGGGCTGCAGCGGCCCCAGCAGCTGGTCTCAAAGTTCGCGCCTTAGGACGCGCGGCGCATACGCCCCCTTCTTGGAGCATGCGTATTAGCCGTGGCTGAGACGGCTGCCCTCACTCTATGCGCAGGCGCAGACGGGAGGTGGCGAGCCTCCGGGGGGGGAGGAATGGAACGCTGGCGTGCTTAGCTCGGGATCAGGACCGAAGTCACTGACCCACTGCGCACGCGCAGATTGTTCCCCTCCCTCATTTTCCCCCTGATGCCGGTTTTTCATTGCCAGTCCCCATGTTACCCTCTGTCCCTCCCGCTGCATTCTGAGGCGCGAATTCTGAGGGAGCCGGTGGGGCCGTTACTCACCGCGCTACTTCCGCTTCCGGGCAGCGCTGGGGGGCGGAGGAGGAGAGTGAGGTGGGGCTGGGAGGCTGAGTCAGCCTGCGGGCGGTGCCTTTTGGCTCTGTGGAGCCAACGGCTCCAACTGCCGGGGGGGGAAGGGGAGCGGGAGCGGGCGGGGCCGGGGCGCTCCCTGATGCTCCCGCCGGGCGGGGGTGATCGTTGGGTGCGGGCCGGGGGCGCGCAGAGGGGCTGTCTGCGGAGGGGGGATTTTAACGCAGGGTGAGGGGGACCCTGACCTGAGGAACACAGAGAGGGGGAGGGGAGGGCTTCTGGCTGGGCAGGGGGGAAAAAAGACTTTGGGGGCTTTTTTTAATTCTGATTTTTTTTGTATCCTCAGTGCTGGTACCTCACACACCGGTCCCCGGGATCTGCCCCTCCATTGCTGAGTGCAGGGAAGTGACACAGCCCCCTAGCCTTGAGGCAGCCATGGCTGCAGAGGGCCCTGTGGAAAGTCTCCAGGTAGGAAGCGACACGTCCCGTCTGTCTGGAGGATTTCACAGCCCCTGTCACTCTGGAGTTTGGGCACAATTTCTGGCAGATCCCCCTCAGTGCAGAGACACACAGCAGCAGGGACCCCTCCGGCCCATTCAGCGGCTAGCAAACGTGGTGGAGTTTCCAGGTAGCAAAGAGAGCAACATGGGACAGGGTGTGTGGGGAGCACCAGAAGGCTCTGATGCTGTTCTGTGAAGAGGATCAAACTCCCATCTCTGTGGTGTGAGACAAATCCCAGGTTCACAAGATGGTGCCTTTATAGGAAGCTGCTCAGGAGTACAAGGTACAGAGTTCCTGTCCAGTGTGATGGGAAATAACATTGGCTTTTAATTACAGGCTAATTTCACTGACTGTTACCTGGCATGGCTCTTTAAAGCCTTCATGGTACAAGAGATGCTGTAAAAAGTAAATATTTTGGCTTTGTGGCAACTTACATCAAGTTTTTACAGATACCTGATGTGGGAAAAGTTTCTCTGAGGCTCTGAATCCTGAAACCCAGCTTTCAGTGGTGACAGGAGGGGTTTTAACATAAGGGAAGGTGTTAACAATCAGAGAGGTTTAGATCAGTGTTTCTCAACCAGTGCTATGAGTACCTTTAGGAGTACTTGACACAAAACCTGAATTTTTGTTTTATGTTTTACAACGCTTTGTTATTTTTGTAATTCTTACACCCAAAAATTTAATTGCCTGCCCTGCTACAATTAAGTTATTTAAACAAATGTGTTGCAATGGTAGGAAAAAAATGGTGTGTCTGAAAACTGTAGGTACTAGGGGTACTTTTTTTTTTAAGGGGTACTTTATTTAAAAAAAAAACAGTTGAGAAACACTAGTTTACATCACAGGAGCTGAAGGCCAGTCTCTGGGAGTGAGCTGCCTTAGGACTGGAGAAGAGGAGGTTAAAAGCTGTTACTGATTGGCTGAGAAGCAGTAGTAATCTATCAGTTGTCTTATAGACCCATAATGCCCAGCAAGGGACAGTCTCTGGCCTGAGCAGGTCATAGTCTAGTTGCACAAATGGTGGGAAGGGAAAATGAAGCAGCAAGTTTCCTTATGGTGACCAAGCACATCAGTTATAGAGTTTAGTCCAGAACTCTGCTCTCTCCACGCTCAGTCCGAGGCTACACTAACCACTAAGCCACACTCCCCCCTGCCTCTCCACATCACTGAACAGTGATGAAGTGTGGCCCTTGGAGGGAAAGACGCCTTGCTACCTGCCTCAGGCCCTGCAGGGAGAGGAGATTTCCCACTAAGATGCTGAACTCCTGGGCTGCATTATGAGGGGTTACAGATAGATGCGGCAACCGGCACTAGAGGAGGTCGCTGGGCTGGATGCTGTGGGGCCCCGAGCATCTTGAGTCCGCCCATAGCAGGGCTCCAGGCGGTGCAGAGCCATGCCAGATATCACTGGGATTTGACTGGGTTGTAGCCAGGGTTCAAACTGGTTAACTGATGAGCAAATGCTTATTGGTTCCAGTTACTGGTTAAACTCCCCACTGTTCCCAGCAGTGAATGTCAGTCTGGAGCTGCTGGTAGTCTCCACCCGCGAGAGAGCCCTGCCCCCCAGGAGAGACCACATCTACTACTGATCTTGTCTGTCAGCGGATTTAAAAAAAACTGTAACAGATTAAATTGTAATCAGTTACTTAGTATTTTTAACCCTTTTTACCTCCCTCATCCCCACTTACATCATTCTTTATGAAGGTGCCACAACCACTTTTTCCCCCACGCTCACAGGCATCCTGCTGCATCTGCAGTCTCCTCCTGTCCTTTTTCAATGGACAAAGTAACATCCAGGACTGAGTCCTTGCTGGACAGGGACGGTGCCAGTTTTCCAGAGCTCTATCTTAGAGGCAGACAAATGGGCTCCCAACATCTCATGGATTTACCCTGGTGCTTATTTCTGTTTCTTCAGGAAGAATTGAAGGCCCATTTGAAGACTCTGAGGGAAGAGAGAGAAAAGCTGCTGGGAAGGAAAACGATAGCAGAGGGGAAAAGCCAGGAGTATCTGGTAGGTGCCAGTGGCTAGGGACTGGCAGTGGGAGGGCTGTGTTAGGAGGCAGATTCCTGTGTGGCCTGGTGAGATTGGGCTTGTTTGTATCTCTCCTGGATCATAGATTGCTGAGTTAGATCCATGTGTAGACAAGCCCTGAGCTTTCATGTCAGTGGATGAGTTAATGTCCAGCTCTTGTGGCTTTCCCAGACATCCTCCCCAAGCTGAGTGTCCCCCTGAAGGGCTGTCTCCTCACTTGGTACATTAACATGTTTCCTTCTTTTTCCTTCCTGGGTATCTCTGTCAGGCTGGAGCTGAGTCCTGCCTCCTGCTGCTTTGGGTCTGAAAGTCCCAGCGCCCATAAATAACACAACCTGCTGTACGTGACAGCATGACATCCCTTTCAGAGTGACACAGGGCCAAAGAAGATGCTGGAAGAGATGCCTCTGCCTAGTACCCAAAGAGTAGAGTCAAGTATCACAAATTTTAGGGTTTTCCAAGAAGTTCTCCCTACTGCGAACTCAGCTTCCCTTAAAAGGGCCCCAGGCTCCATCCATGTCCCTGACCATCACTTTCCCTGTTTTCATACAGAAATGGACCCAAGCTGAGAGGCAGATGATTGTGGCTGAGTTTCAGCAGCTGCGACAGTTCCTGGAAGAACAAGAGCAACTCCTGCTGGCCCAGCTGCAGAAGCTGGATGAGGAGGTTGGGAGGCTCCAGACTGACACTATTAGGAGACTCTCTGCGCAGATTTCCCATTTCAGCGAGCAGATCGTTGAGGTGGAGGGGATGTGTCAGAAACTAGCGAGTGAATTCCTACAGGTGAGACTGAGGGAGAAATGTCTGAGCTTCCCACACAGGGAAGGTAGGCTCCTGAATTACAAGTGCTGGGATCCAGCCATCCAATCTCAGTGTAACACCGCATGCATTGCTGACATGTGAGTGACTGTTGTGGTTTGCAGAGTTACGGGCACAGAGCTATTAGAGATGGCAAAGCTCCACTCATTCAGGGGATCCATGGGCCTGGGGCCAAGGCAAGGCCCCTCTTCCCATGTTTACAAAATCCCTTCCCTGCGGTCCCCTATGTGTGTCCAATGGGGCTGAGATTCTTTTCTGTCTCTTTTCTCTAGGACATCAGAAACACCTTGACCAGGTAGGTGGTTCTCACTCATCTCACTACACAGCGCAGGGAAAGGGCTTGGAGCTGATGTTAGCAGCACATCTCCCCAGGGCTGTACAGCCAAATGTTGGATACAAATGTCTCTGATTTAATTCTGAGGGTTTCACCCTTGCACAGTAGACTCTGGAATTCCCCATTCAGGGCACAGTCTGACGTCAAATATTTCCTAGAGCTGTCACCTCACTGGGGACTGGCTGCCTCAGGACTGTGGGACTGGAACATGGGCATATCACTACTAGGCACATTCAGCCCAGAGCAGCAGGGATCAAAAGTCTGTCCCACTCAAGGGCTGTTTGGAGACCTGTGTGGAAGGAGCTGGGGAGGGGGCAGCTGGAGTCTGTCTAGTCCCTAGTGGGCAGATTCCTTCAGCCCTTCACCTAGGAACCTCCTGTTCCTCAGTTCCTGGAGGCCAAGGAGTGAGATGGCCATGGAGACTCAATTCCCCTTTTGTCCCCCAGCTGGTCTCGCTAGGCCAGAAGTGAAGAACAGCAATGAGACCTTTCGGGGAGGGTTGCGCGCCCATGGACTGTGTTGCCCCATCTCTTAGACTGGGAGAATTGGAGGAATTCTAACTCCAGACCTGTTAAAGCTGAGACTTACTAGCCGTAACTTCTCATCAGTAAATTAAATACAGTTACATGGAATTGTTTCTGTCCAGGTATGAGACGGGGCAATTCCAGCTGCCAGAGGAGATTTCCCCTGAACTAGAAAAGCAAATCAGCAGTTTCTCCCAGAAAACGATTGCTCTGTCAGAGACTCTGAGGGAGTTCAAAGGTACCTAGAGGGGATGGAGGAGGGGAAAGTGGTTCAAGTATCTAAAACTGTTGAATCTGGCCTCTGAAGCCAAACTTCCCCTAGCTCAATTCCCACGTGGAGAATGACGGCCCCATAACTCAGCTCTCCTTAGAGACACTGAGTGAACAGACCCAACTGCTTGCAGATAGAGCCAGGGGTTTGCAAACTCTGATCCTCTCATTCAGAGATCAAAATGGCTAAAGTTACTGTGATGGCCATGTGTTCCGCCACCACAGCTTCCGGTTATGATAAGAGGCAATAAGTGAATTGAGAAACCAAGTGGGAGGAGGTGAGGAGGGAAAAGTAAATCTCTCTTACAGCTTGTCTCCCCTGGGATGGGGGTGAGGCTGCAGGGATGTTGGCTCCATTGCTGGGAGGTGCTCAAGCGAGAGAGGAAATGAAAGTTTCAGACTCTTTCATACTCAGTACCTGAGTGTGTGTCTGTCTGGTCTCTGATACAATTGAAACACAGAGTTCAGAGTGGGGACATTGTTATGAAGAGGAGAGTCTGGAATCTCACCTCCCTTATTCCTTCTCCCTCCAGACACTCTGCCCTCTGCACTGGAGAGAGGAAGAAGAAAATCCCTGGGAGCTTTCAGACAAGGTAAGTTTGCAGGTGAAGATTCTTTAAATGATGAGAAAATTCCCATGAAAACATTTTCATGGGATTGTCATTAAAGTTACCAACCAAACCCAGCGACCATGGTGCACACAGCCCTAAATCTCACCCACTGATCAGTGAGGAGACCCAGGGGCACTGTATGGGGACCTTTGGACACTTTGAGAAACACTGGTCTCTGAGGTATGATGCTACAGGGATGAAGTTAAAGCACACAATGGACAGCACCTGCAGGCTCAGATTTCACTGCTCAGTTTCAATATGGGGTTGGTTTCAAGCCATAAATAGGCTGAAAGGCTGAGAGCTGACTGGCTTCCACTGTATCAGTCTGTTCATGGCAAGAAACTGCTGGATCCTCAAGGGCTGTTCACTGTAGTGCAGGCCTGAGCAAAATACAGCCAGCCCGTGCATTTCCTCCATTAGTGTCATGGAAGAGTGCAACTCAACCACTTTCCAAAATCTTGGAGTGCCCACCTCCCATCAAAATGAATTGCCCACCACTGGTCTAGTGGCTACAGCTCAGTGAGAGCCAATAACTCAAAGTTGAAGCCAGACAATTTCAGGATAGAAAAGAGGCACAATTGTTTGATAGGGAAGAGGATTAGCTGCTGAAACAAATGAGAAAAGAACTGATGAACTCCATCTCTTGATGTCTTCAAATCAATACTGGGCAACTTTCTAGGAAACATGCTGTGGGGAAACAGAGCTTTGTGCCTGGTTAACTGGACTAAGTGCAGTGGCTTGTGCCACAGAGGGGGTCAGACTGCAAGGCTAAAGATATCTTCTGACCCCATGAATCCACGAATTTTAAAAACTCATCCTGCAAACAGTATACGTGTTATATGATCTGAATGGTTTTAACTTCATTTAATCTCTGTTCTGCATCAGCTGAGAGAACCATAATTTGTGCTGCGAATCAATGAATGAAGATTAAGAATTTTCAATACAGCCGCTTAAATTTAACCTATGTCCATGTTCAGGCAGGTGAATATATGGTTTATCAGAAACACTGAGTGCTGAGAATTGAATTCCATTGTTACAGGCGCAGTAATGTTGAAACTCAAGTAGGTACCGAGAGAAATGAATATGGATTTGGGATCTAACTTGAAGGTGCTGTTTATGGAATATCTAGAATGTGTATCACTAGGAACAGTGTCTGGGCGGAATGGGGGTGTGGAAAGGATTAAAGCCCCTTCTGAAATGTCTCCAATTGCCCTTCTCCCCCTGACAGGCTGCAAAACTGCCACGTCTGTCTCCAGCTCAGCCCCTGGCCTGCAGAGCCAGGGACAGGAAATGGCTGTGGCGGAGCCGGTGAGCTTCGAGGAGGTGGCTGTGTATTTCTCTGAGGAGGAATGGGCTCTGCTGGACCCGGGCCAGAGAGCCCTCTACAGGGATGTGATGCAGGAGAATTATGAGTCTGTGAACTGGTTGGGTAAGGATTCCTGTCCCCTCCGGTATCAGAAGCTAGGTTGGGTTTGGTTGAGGCCTCAGTGTCAGGAGTAGCAGCCCCACTAATCCTCGCTCCTGTGTGAGACTTCCCTCCACGCCTCCTGTCAGGGGAAGCAGGTTCAAGAACATAACAAAGGGTCTGCTCTTCCCACAGCCAAGGTCTCAATGTGCTTCCCCATTATCTTGCCCATGTTGTGCCTTGGCTGGAGGTGTCAGTGGAAGGGGCCAGCCAAGATCAGCAGATGGGTCTGGCTGCTGTTAGTGCCTGTGGGGTACTGTGGGGTATTTCGCCCCCGGGGAGGGCTTCCGTCCGCCCCCCCCTTAATCCTTTTAGCCTTTGTCAGCCGCGCGCGCCCGGCTCTGCTCTGCTCAGCCAGTTGGGGGAAGGGGGTCTGGGCTCGCCCTGGCTCCAGACCCCGACCCAGGGCCCTAAGGTCAGGAAAAGAATCCCCACCTAGCGGGGGGGGGGGGTCGAGAACCCTAAACTCCCCTGCTCTCAGGGTCCACGTCCCTGCCCTGGGCCACTTCTTCCCCCCGGCCT